ACCAGTGTGGCTCAGACACCTGAGTAGATGAATTATACTCAAGTAGAATCAATGGCAAATATTCAATGTCTCAATGTCTTAGCCATGCTGGTGTCTTAGCCACACTGGTGTCTTAGCCACATCAGTGTCTTAGCTGCCCAAAGTCCTATATTTTACCCAATTATTATGTATTAAAGCAATGGAATGTAATTGTACAAAGGCATATTCTGATGTTATGGCTAAGACTTTAAGGTGAAAAAGTGGTATTATAGGCCAATTCCAACCCAATGTTTGCAAGGTCTTATGCCTTAGTGGTATAACGCGCTGTGGTTACTTTCAGGCTGTGGGTTCGATTCCTGCCTGTGCCATTTTTTGGGCTTTTCAGTGTCTTAGCCACTCATGGGCGCTTCTGAGTGGCTAGTCCGGTGTAACTTAATAAGTTCCCGTGTCTAGGCTGCTGAACTGAAACTCTTGGCCAATGAGCTGGTAGCGGGCAGATTGGCAGGCGGAGAGGACACTAAGAGCGGTTATCAATACAAATGCCCGCTGTATCAATTGGTTATACAGATTTACGAGATTTTAGGTTAGGCCCTACGCATGAGATGGTACGCGGAGCAGACTACGGTAAGCAAAAGCAGCAGCGGAGTACATAGCTTCGACTTCTGTGTTTAGACGTTTCCAAAGCGTACCAGCAGCCTGAATGGGCATCAGTACGGCGGCATAGCCTAATCAATCAAACACTTACTCGCTCGAACTGATAGCATATGAGCCTCGCAGTGTGCCCTTCTGTCCACCACCGCCCTCAAGAACTCCGCTAGGCCTTCATTGGTGCTTCTCCGACACTCAAGATCAGGATCTGTTCGTGAGAATAGTGAAGGTAAGTTTCGACGCCAGGAGCTTGCAGGGCCTGCAGTGGTATAGAGTGACGGTCGTGTCCAGGTGCGCTGTCGTAAAGAAAAGGTTAGGATAAGAAAAAGTAAGTAAAAAATAAAAATGAGGTTTGGTATAAAGAAGATTCTAGGAGAAATCCTAGAAGGCTACTTTTTAATAAAAGAGAATGGAGTTTGGTCTGTTCTAAACTAGAAGCAAGAAGGGTATAGTATGGAATACTTAGATTTGGTTTTCCCAATCTTTTCTTTCCAGGGTTCACTGGGTTAGCCTTTCAACCAAGCTATCCTGGTGTTCGTGGGGGACTAATTCAAAGACCACCTACTAATCTGCTTAAATACTCTAAAGCCTCACTTGCCTGTTTACAAGGGACTTTTTACAGAATCTTAGAAGATGGGCTGTAGGGAGGTTTGGTTAGTAGCTTAAAGACTAGCTACTTGGGTTAGTAGAATAGGGTTTTTAGATAAGTAAGAAAAGAGGGTAACAAAGACAACTTAATGTCTTGGTTAACTTAGTAAGCTTTGGCTAGTAAGGACAATTTAATGTCCTTAGAGGATTTGTATA